CCCACCCACCCGAAACCCCATCCAACCCCCACCCCCTGCTTCAATGAGGGTGTTCCTCCACCCACCCAGTCAGTTCCACCTCCCCCTCACCAGAATTCCCCTACACTGGGGCATCAAGCCTTCACAGGACCAAGGTCCTCTGCTCCCACTGATGCCCGACAAGGCCATCCTTTGTTACATATGTGGCTAGGGCCATAGGTCCCTCCATGTGTACTCTTTGGTTGGTGGTTTAATCCCTGGGAGCTGGGGGGGGCAGTGTCTGGTTGGTTGATATTGTTGTTCTTCCTTTGGGGTTACAAACCCCTTCAGTTCCTTTAGTCCTTTCTCTAACTCCTCCATTGGGGACCCCTTGCTCAGTCCAGTGATTGGCTGTGAGCATTTACTTCTGTATTTGTCAGGCTCTGGCAGAGCCTCTCAGGAGACAGCTATGTCAGCCTCCTGTCAGCATACACTTCTTGGCATCCACAACAGTGTCTGGGTTTGGTGTCTGTATATGGGATGGATCCCCAGGTGGGGCAGTCTCTGGATGGCCTTTCCTTCAGTCTCTGCTCTGTGGAGAGCTTTTGGGGCTGCTTGGCAGGAATCCAACATTGGCCAAGGACAAGGAAATGGGCTTTAGGCAGGAATCTGACATTGGGCCATGACAAGGAAGTAAGTTCAGGTAGGAATCTAATTTTAGGCTAAAACAGAGAAGTAAGTTCAATCAGGAATCCAAGTCTTAGGCTAGAACAAAGAAGTAGGCCTCAGGCATGAGTATGACTGTGGGCTAGGACAGGGAAGTGGGCTGAGATATTTTTGTCATCCCAATGAGCCCTTAGAAACAGCAAGAGTGATCATGGGGTAATCACGGGTCTCTGTATATTGCCTTGTTTGTTCTTTAACTGTATCTATTGTATTGTTGGTTCCTCAACCTAGAACTGACCTAAATTCTTGCATGTAATTAAAAGGGTTTAAAAGAAAAGTGGGAATAAACAAACCTGCACTAAGCCTCAGAACTGGCTGGGGTCATGCTGCAATTTTGTCTAATCATCTCTTTTAATCCTCACTCCTGCACTGGAGAACCTGTTGACTGATTGAGCGGGCTTGGTCAGATGGTGCCTCAATGTTGGAGCTCCAGAAAGCGGGATACAGTGAAGGACACCTCGGGAATTGGAAGTGATACAAAGGAAAGTAAAGAAGATTTGGGCCAGTGGTAAGTAATGGTAAGTGATGGTAAGATGTGTCTTGTGTATGTGTTTAGAGTTATGCTAAAATCTAGAGAAGCAAAGGTAATTTGCTTCTCATCTCATAGATGCTTTTAGTCTTTGGACCCTGACTAGAGACAGTTTACACCCTAGACATGGGTTGGAGAAAAACAGTCCTCCCCAACAATCTGGAGATACTTTGGAGAAAGAGAAGGAAAATGAACTTAAGCTGTCTCAGAGCTCTCCTAGGAACAGGCAGAGGTCAGGAGACATCCTGCCTCCTGTCTGCCTCCAACTGGAGAAATGCTTGGTTCTGGGTCCCTTAGGTAGGATATCTGAGTCCCTTTTGTGGAACATCTAGTCCTCTTCCCTCTCTGTCTATTGTCTGTCCTTGGTGCACCAATCTGCCCATGTCTGTCAGTTTATGTCTGTTTTTGTTTTGTTGCTTGAATGTTCCATGTTTCATGTTCAAAAGAAAAAAATGGTCAAAACTTTATCTGCTGGTTGTTCAGCCCTTGATTCAGTTTTTAACTAGTTTCAAAAAAAAAAAAAGTAAAAATAAAAAGCAGTTTTAATTGGCCTTTGGAGACCTACACCTGTAGTTAGGAGTCTAGCACAAGGCCTTCCTTCCATGGTCTCATTGTCTGTAAAAGCCACTCTTAAAGGAACCAGCAGTTTTTTTTGGCTTCTATGGCAAGGAGCTGATGGTTGTTTCTCCAAGAAAAATCTGTGACTATGATTATTGGGTTCAGCAGGTGACAAGGTGCTTCTCTTGAAATTACAGCTAGAAAAAGTATGAATTTTGTCCGGTTTAAATAAGTAAATGTGTGCAGCCACTTCATTTTTGTTTCTGACTGGTTTTAAAAGTATAAATATGTTCTGGATGTCTTGCTTATAGATTATTGGCTTATAAGTTATTGGGTACAATTAAAATTTTTTAACATTGGTAACAGAAAGTTGGTTTAAAACTGGTAACTCAGGGTTGGAGTCATTCTAAGCAGCAACACGTGGCATGATCCACCAGGGAAACAGGTTTCTAAAGATATGTCTAAATTAAGTGATATTTTATGTATTATAAAGACTTATAAAAGATTTAGGGCAGTGTCTCTTTGCAGTATTGGAGGATGTACTGTCTTGTGTTTGTGTGCAGGAATTGACAGTCAAACTTTGTAGCATTGGTGTTTTTAGAGACTGGATTGTTTCTTGGAGGTTGAGTTTTGCTTTCCAAAGTTATGATTGTGCTCTGGTGTTACAAGGGAAACTCGAAGATTATAGTTAAACTGTCGTCATTGTTCCATTGGTTGCAAATTGCAGTTAGATCACAGGTTCGGGATTTTAACTCACACATATTTATAATTAAGAAAAAATTTGACAGGTGGAGATTGTTGCATGGTTTGCTTCAAAGGGTTGATGAGGCTATGGAACTTGTGGAGGCATTGCAGGATGGCTTGCCTACTCTAACTGCCATTATAAGAAATGCATGTAGAATTATTATAGATTTGGAGGATTGTTTTATACTATTCCTTTACATTCTGGTGACTGTGGGAGGTTTGCATTTAGTGAGTTTGCTTGTAATTTTGGAGAATCCATGAAGTCATATCACTGGAAAGTTTTGCCTCAAGAACTGGCTATTAGCCTTACATTATGTAAGAAATTTTGTTGCTGCTTCGGTACAAGAAGTTAGGAGTTTGAATCTTTCAGTGTATATTATTCATTATATGGATATTTTGCTAGCTGATCCCTTTGAAGGAATTTTATACTACAAGCCTTTGCTCTCATACAACGAGCTTTAAAATCTTGGAGTGCTTGTTGCTCTAGAAGATTCAAAGGCAATATCTTTTTCAATATTTGGGACCTCAGTTATATCTTAAGCAGATTGTGGCACAGAAAATTCCAATAAGAAAAGATAGTTAGGGCTGGAGAGATGGCTCGGCAGTTAAAAGCACTGACTGCTGTTTTGGAGGTCCCGAGTTCAATTCCCAGCAACCGCATGGTAGCTCACAATCATCTGTAATGGGATCTAGTGCCCTCTT